GCGCATGCGCGCCGAGGGTAACTATTGTACCCTCGCTGCGCATGCGCGCCGAGGGTAACACGCGAAATGCATCGAGATGGGAAGCTTAGAGCATTTTTGGAACAGACATACATATTGATAGGAGCATACATTATCAGGATCAAAGTGTGAGATGAATTGAATCCAAAAGAAGTTTCGCAGTCTGGACTTGATGGGGAGATCATGTCAAATGATGGTAGAGAATTCCAAAGGCGGGGAATGCAAAAATTCCTCTCAGCCTGGTTTTTGCAAAAGGAGTGCCTTAGCTTGAAATGAGAAGATGAGTGAGTAGGATTCAAAAGTTGACAAAGTTGCGTATATTGAACAGAGGGAAACTTTAAGGGAAAGAGAATATCAGCAACTTCTCACTCAATCATTAGTGGTAAGAGATCTAAGCACTAAGCACATCAATTTTATAATACCCTTCATGACAAAATTTCTTTGAACGAGTTCCAGACACTTCAACAAGTGTGGATTTTGTTGTTTGAAAACAAAATTAAATGCTCTTGCACGACCTAAGAATTTATAAAGGGGTTATAATACTAGGTGCTAATACTTTCAATTTCTGCTTATTTAAGCAGATCCCCAAGGCATCCAAAGGGTTAAGTTATTTCTGAGGTATATGCTTTTTTGACCATATTATGGATCAGACGGATAGCTAATGTCAGAAGTGGGGTCTGACTGAAACTGAAAGAGAAACGTACAAATCTCATAATGCAGGATGACCTGTGTCATCTCTATGGAGGGGTTGCAATGGGCGTGGCCGAATGACGCGTCCGCCAACCGCGCGCGTATGGCGATTCCGCATGGTTTTGGCTGCTCAAACCATGAGACAGAAGCAAGGAAAAATGTACGTATTTTATTGCGTTTGAGCGCAATGAATTAGACAGAAAATCTTCCATTATCTCTCTCGTATATAGTTGCAGGGTCACATGAATTCTTATTAATTTACGCTGGCGCTGGTTAGGAGGGTTAACAGTTCGGTGCATGAGGCAGAACATCATCATAATAATGGGAGGTCGTTTTAATTTAACCATGCGCGTACGATACGGCGGGGTGTGCGTCATTGGCCACGCCCATTGCAATTATACTAAGAAGAAATCAGTAGGGAGGCGAAATAATGCCCCAGCAGATAGTCCAGAAACGTATTATCGAAGAAACGTTTTGCTGCCTTTCTTGGATCATATGCTAACTCAGCTACAGGACCGGTTTGGAGGAGTTAGCAACAGATTGTAAAACTCTTCAGCTTATATAGTAGCTACCCTCATTGCTGGTTAACACTGAACTTACCTCAGTGGAAGAAGTGCGCCAGTTGTACCTTGCTGACCTCCCTTCACCTCTGTTATTCACCACTGAATACCAGAGGTGGAAAACAAAATGGACATCGGCACAAGCCGATGATAGGCCTGACTGCCTTCAACAAGCTCTATTGAAATGTGACATTGATATGTTTACAAATATTAACGTACTCTTACAAATAGCTTGCACTTCCCAGTTACGGTTTGTGAGAATGAGCGTTCCAACAGCCAACTAAAACTCCTAAAAACTTACTTACAGTCAACAATGTCAGAGGAGAGAATGTCTGCATTAGCACTTATGAAAATTCACCGGCAAAGGACAAAAGATATTGATTTAGATTTGGCAGTCACTATGTTTGCTAACCGGCACTCAAGACGAATGCTGTTACCTTTCATGTTCACTGACTTCTGAGATTTATACTTTTTTGTTCAACATGCTCCATTTGCTGCACGAGCGCGCAGTTTATGTATCGTGTTCCCTTACTAAGCGTGGATGCGTGAATGCTTAATGGTATATGCCTACATGGTGATGGCAAAAGACGCTGGACTTCGTGACTGCGAGCGCGTGCGCGCGCGCTGTGCTAGGGGCGTGACTTCCAAGCACGCCGACTCGAACTATTATATATACCCCTTGCTATTTTCTGCATCCGCCCCTGGAGTGCGTGCTAGTGCCGCTGCGCCAGCTGAGACTAGAACCCACAACCCAACTTTTTGCGGCAGCCAGGTGCGTATATACTTATAATTATAATAATGCGCCACTAACGTAGCCCTGAATTGAACTCTATGCCTGCTATAATACTGTCATACCTACCAACCTACAGATGAACCTTTGCTTGGGAAATGTGTCAAATTTGCTTGATTTGGAGTGTATTTGCTTGAAAATGCTGTGTGTCCATTCAAAATGTATAGGCATGGTGCAACACAGGTATTCACAAAAAAGAGGGATTTGGCAATTATATCTGGAGGGATAGGTAGTATTTTTGCTTGATTATCAAGCAAAAAGCTGGATGGTTGGTAGGTATGTACTGTGCTTCCGTATCGTTTTCGCTACCTAGCCGAGCGTTGGAAATGGCATCAGCGCGCGCTGAGTTAAACTTTCCATGGGTGTTTGTGTTGCTTGTAAATTATACAGGAGTCTCTCCCCTCCTAAAGAGAAATGGAGAAAAACGTAGCGGTGTTGGTGATGTGTGCTCTTCCTCTACTGCATGCAGGTGAGTAGCTACGTACTCTATACTCTTGACTCATAAAAGAGAAACTATAATTTCAGAGTATATACTCTTAGAGGGGAGCATATTTAGATAGTGGAGTAACCACAGGTAGGAAGTACTCCTATAGTTCATTGACTTTGAGAATGCATGTTGATATTCTGGAATAACATCATTACTCCTATTCTATTGCACAGTACCTGGTACAATTCAGTAGCTCTTAAAGATCCCGCTCCTTTAGTCTTGGTTTGGACAAAATTTTTGTGTGACATAAGAAAAACCCTCTTTTAAAGTGCATTCTCAACCTGAACATACTATAGCTCCAGTGACATGGCCAATTGTTAAAAACTCTCAACTGTATCTCTGAAAGATAATATTTTCCACCTGAGCTAAGCTTATTGGATTCCTGCAGTAGTTCAAGATCATTGGTAATGAGTAACTTCACTGCAGATGCTATCTGTACATATGGAGAAACTGCTCCAACTGCTATCCTGGAAAAGGAGTTGCTACTATCCTGCAGCCTGACCTGCTTCTCCAATGTGTACGAGTGGTTCAACATAACAGATGGTAATGTGAGACTCTCTACTGAGAAGAACAGCACATTTGTTGTGTCTGAGAAGGTTCATTCAGTAACAGAGGTCGGAGGTCACAAGTACATGTGTCAGTGCAATGCCCTCCCTGCCACAGAATGTTTCAGGATTGGAGGTATGTATTGTTGTCATTGGACGGAATACGTAGGGGGTGTATGAGCATAGGTCTCGTCACTGGGAAATGAGTGCCTTATACAGTGCTATTGAGAAGCATATTATGCAGTGACAGCGACGCTTGCAGCTATAGCGAATAGCAACAAATCTGTCAGTGATCCTTGCCTGACATAACCTGACTCTTCATGAAAAGGGCTAGGCAATGTGTGTGCATGGTTATAAGCTATTGACAAACCAGAAGGGATTACTCCATTGTGACAGGGAAAAAGAAAAGTGCCTCATACATGTGCTTGAGGCTTTCCAAACAATGCCGTCGTCATCAAAACACAGTTTCATCTCAATGTGTTCTACTGGAGTGAAGAAGTAATTTTAAAGAAAAGTGCCTGATTGTTGTTCTTGAAACAATATGTGGTCGTCATGATAATATGCATGTGTACCAAGTTTTGTCTGCATGCGCGCTACCGTTTGCAGAAGTGAAGAATTTTAAAGAAAAGTGCCTGAAATGCTTAAAACATATGTTGGCGATCGAATACATTTGCATGCAAAGGTTCATACACATAGGTCTTACCCATTGTAAGTTACACCTACACATGTGTGCCCTTTATAATGTATTGCAATGGGCTGTTATTTTGTTGTTTACGACATTGTTAACAAAAGTACGACCATGCAGATCTGGTTAAAGATACCATCCAATGGTCTTGAGCAATAAATTAAGTTTGAGTACCATAGACAGTGAAATCGTAACGCGTAGCGCAATATGATTGGTCGGTGTGCTGAAACGCCCACAATATTTTGCGTAGCACGCAGTTTGCGCAAGCAATTTTTTAAATGTTAAGCAGCAGATCTGCCGAGCTAGCTGACTAGCGCTGTCCCTTCGCTTTGCAGGCATACATGCAGAGACATTCTACCAGTACAAGAGCAAACCTCCTTCTGCGTAGAATGTAGCTAAAACACTCGTTTACTCGGGTCAGAGTCCAATTCATAGTATACGGACCCACAAATTCAAGTATACGGATATAACACACATGCACGTAGACTGTTGATTACAGGCCACAATGGTTGCTCTCGTGGCGATTTTCACGCGTGCTTCCATCAGGCCCAAAACCTATCAGAGTTATGAAGATAACTAATTTTCTGTCGAAAACAGGAGCACCATACTTTTGAAGGACCCAGGTCGTCACATTCTCCCTCTTGATGTGCTAATCCAGAGCTCATGCAGAAAATAGATTTTATTTTTCCCTCCGCATGCAAGTGTACAAAAGAAGGGTTGAAAAAAATAAAAGCACTGAAGTGTGTAAACCATCGGCACACTGCGCATGCGTGGTACCACTCATTGCTTTACCCTCGCAGCGAGGGTTACGGTAGTTGGTTTGTCTGTCTGTCTGTCTGTCTGTCTGTCTGTCTGTCTGGTCTGTGTGTCGACGCCTATTCTGGCACTACAAGCTACGGGGTGGCGAATGAGCGATACCAACGGCTTCATAAATACCGGAACCTGAAAAATTATTAGGCGATTTCCCTGAAACGACTGCGTTCGAGAGATATGCCGTGAAAATGAAAGCACTAAAGTGCAAACCCTCGGCGAACTGCGCATGCGCGATACTGCAAATTGATGGGCTGGGCCAGCTATGTATGCGTTTACTCGCGGTCTTCCGCTAGTAGCCCTGCGGAGAGTTAGACACGGGCTAGCTACAGTAGTAGATAGCATGTGGGAGTCGATACATGCCATTCGTTGTGACTTCCTGAGCCCCCAAGGTACACAGAGCGAGCGGATCAGTGCGATTTGGCTTTTTCGCTTGTTTTCACGGCATATCTCTCGAAAGAAGTCGTTTCAGGAAAATCGCCTAATAATTTTTCAGGCTCCCGTAGTTCTGAATCCGCTGGTATCGCTAATGAGCCGCCTCGTAGCCTGTAGTGCCAGAATAAGCGTCGACACACACACAGACAGACAGACAGACAAACCAACTACCGTAACCCTCGCTGCGCATGCGCGCCGAGGGTTAACAAGCGAAAAAGGCAATATGCATATTAGCACTGGGCTTACCGCGACCTGATCCGCTCGCTCCTGTTTACCTTGGTGGCTCAGGAAGTCACAACGAATGGCGTGTATCGACTCCCGCATGCTATCTATTACTGTAGCTAGCCAGTGTCAGACTCTCCGCGAGCTTATACTAGCGGGAGTAAACGCATGAATAGCTCAGTCCATCAGTTACCAGTATCG